TGTACGGGAGGTGCAGCCGACCTGCTGCAGTGGGCGACGCCGACTTGGGCGAGCTGGTCGACAGGTTTGGACGACCTACACGAGGCCACTGCTAAGCCGCCGACTTTAGGTCGCCGGCGACCGACTTCTACGGGTGGTCGACGAATTGGCTCGTCGACCTGAGCAGGGCGCCTACTTGGAGAGCGCCGATTTCGGGAGGTCGAACCGGCGAGGTCGACTTAGGAAGGGCGCCGACTTCGTGGCGCCGCTCTGGGGAAGCTGGCTTGGTGAAGTCTGCGACCAGCAGGCCTGGTCGACCAGAAATGGTCGACCTGGGGGTGTGGCCGACTTCGCGAAGTCGGCAGGAGGTGGTCTTCGACCTAGGCGGCCGACGGGCACATGGAGCAGCACTTGGTCGATGTGATTGCCTGGTCGACCAGGTTACTCGGCGACGGGACTCTGCAGAGGTGCGCGACGGTCGCCGGGGTGGCTCTAGCGAAGCCGACTTCGGAGGTGGTATCCCGAGGTCGACGTGGCTGATCAAGTGCAGTCGTTGGCACGTGGTCGGTTTGGCGTCTGCGTTGTGCACGTGACGGGGCACAGCATGCCAACCAACCGCAAACACCTGCAAAGCGGGTGCGCTGCTGTCATGCGGGTGCAACGCTGTGCAGCCGCCTTGCTGTATCGTTGGCACGTTGTCGACTTGCAGCGTTGGCAAGCCGCCTTTCTGCAGCGCTGGAGCGGTGCGGACTTTGCAGCGCTGGAACGCGGTCGACCATGCTTTACTGGAGGTCGACCTGCTTGCTTGCTTACTAGCATCTGATGTAGTCCATTGTTGCTTTGCTTGTTTAACCATTGTTCTGAACTTTCTCTAGTGAAACTCTTGCCGTTTTGCCCGGTGAACACGAGCTGTTCTCCATGGAGTATTGCCGTGTGGGCTGGGAGTCCAAGCGTGAACGCGGCAGGGGAGTGTCAACGGGAGTTGTGTGTTGGCCCCATCCTCGCTTGGGCGGAGCCGTCTTCGTGGTCGGGTGTGCGGGAGGTGCAGCCGACCTGCTGCAGTGGGCGACGCCGACTTGGGAGGGCGCCAACTTTGGGAGGTCGACTTGGCGAGGTCGACCTGGGAGGGCGCCGACTTGGTGGCACCTACCTGAGGAAGCCGACTTGGTGCAGTCGGTGAACAGCAGGTCTGGTCGACCAGAAGTGGTCGACCTGGGGAGTGGCCGACTTAGTGAAGTCGGCTGGTGGTCGTCGACTTGGGTGGTCGACGAGCACGTACAACTGTTGGTCGACTTCTACCGAGCAAGTCGACGCCGACCAGGTGGTTTCCAGGTCGACCAAGTAACCATGGCAACGAGGTTCTGCGGGGTGTGCGACCGTCGCCCAGGTGGTTTTTGGCGAAGCCGACCTCGGAGTGGTATCCTGAGGTCGACGTGGACGATCAGGTGCAGTCAGTGACACGTGGTCGACTTGGCACCTGCGTTGTGCACGTGACGGCGCACGTCGCACCAACCGACTATGAGCACCTGCGAAGTAGGTGCGCTGCTGTCACCTGCGGGTGCAACGCTGGACAGCGTTGGCACGCCGTCGACTTGCAACGTTGGCAAGCTGCCTTTCTGAAGCACTGGAGCGGTGCGGACTTTGCTGCACTGGAACGCGGTCAACCATGTTGCGCTGGAACGCGGTCGACCATGCTGCGTTGGAGGTCGACCTGCCAGTGCGCTAGGCAAACTTGCATCTGATGTAGTCTTTGTTACCAATGTTGTTGCTACCATTGTTCTCAACTTTTGCTAGTGAAACTCTTGCGGTTTTGCCCTGTGAACGCACAAGTGTTGGAGAACACAAGGAACGCTATGATTCCTCTCACAACCGTGCCTTCCCCATAGTCTAGCTCACGTTGTAGAGTTTATCTCCGCACCCTCACGTTGTAGAGTTTATCTCCGCACCCTCCCCCCTCCATTACCTTCCGCTTTCCCTCTCCTCTCCACTGCCGATACTCCAAGCCCGCAACCCCTTAAAGAATCGTCTATCAATCCCCCCATTCCCCAGTTGAACATAAAAAAAGCAGATTGTTCTACATCACGTTTATTAAATCCGTGGTCATCCGTGGTTCTCTTGCACAAGCAAGTGGTGATGATAATTTTGCTTCAGTTCTGCTCACTAGCCCTCTCCCCCCAACTCCGATCTTTTGCCTCCACTCAACACCCCTCTCACCTTCTCCAATCATATCCGTACCCAGCTCTCCTTCCTTCAGCCCTGCTCCTACTCCTCCACCCACCCCCCCCCCCCCCCCCCCTTTCCCCCACCCCCCTTTCATCTCCTTCCTTCTGCCTGTACTCATCCCCTTTCTCCTCGTCACCCTTCCCAATCACATCTATGTCCCCTCCCTTTCCTCTCTCCCTTTTTCCTTCAGCCCTTCTTCTCATTCCATAAGCTCCTATCTTCCGCCTTTCTCCCCATCACTCTTTCCACTCACGTACATCTCCCATCCCTACCCCCTCTCCTGGTTTCCTCCAGCCTTGCTCCTCGGCTTTTCCTTCACATGCTGCCGTCTTCCTTCCACTCCCCTCTCTCATCACCACCCTCTACAATAATATCCATTTCCCCTCTCCTCACTCCCTCTCTCTCTGCCGCACGTTCCCCCTTAAGCCCAACCTCATCCCCCCCCATATTTCCATTCTCCACTCCTTCCTCCCCCTTAAACCTCTACAAGTCATCACCTGCCCCATTCTGACAATGTTCATACTAATCAGGGAAATTTATTAATGTTCGGGGCCCACGCAGTTTCACTGCTGCCTGATCATATGCCCGAGCAGCTTCTTCAGGGCAGGTGAACGTTCCAAGCCAAAGGCGGGATTTTTTATTCGGCAATCGGATCTCCGCCACCCACTTCCCGTAGCGCCGTTGCCGCACACCACGGTACATGTTTTTGTCCTTTTTTGCTTGCTTGCCGACCACCGGCGTGGATGGAAAAAAAGGGGCTGAATCAACACTTCTTGGTTGATTCGGAGAAGCATGAATAGGTGCAACTTTGCTTCTGACTTCACCACCATCAGAGGGAATCCGAATAGTTGCAGCAGCGTCTCTGGTGGTTGTTACAGGTTCTCCCAAAGCCACCATTGTTGCCTTTGTTGTTTTCTGCCTTGCTCTTCCGCCTGAGCCTGCTCTGCTGCACCGACTACTATGCCCACTCCCACTGCGACCACCCCTCCTCGTACCCCCATCCCTCGCTGCCGGACCTTCTCCTAGTGCCTTCCTTGCAACTTTTCTTTCTACCTTTATTTCTTCTTCTTCTTCTTCTTCTTCTTCTTCTTCTTCTTCTTCTTCTTCTTCTTCTTCTTCTTCTTCCTCCTCCTCCTCCTCCTCCTCCTCCTCCTCCTCCTCCTCCTCCTCCTCCTCCTCCTCCTCCTCCTCCTCCTCCTCATCCTCCATCCTCCCTCTCTTCTTACCCCTCTCTTTCTCGTTTCTTCTCCAAAGCTCCCCCACTTGACCATCCGGCCTTGAATAATCTACAGATCTCCCCACTCCCCTGCTTACCGCATCCCTTATACTCTGCCTGTTGACCTGTATTCCCTCCTTGCTTTCCCAGACTTCTCCTGTGAAGAAAATAGTGCCAGAAGCAGCACCAGTATCAGCACCAGCAGCAGCAGCAGAAGCAGCACCAGCAGCACCACCATCAGCAGCAGCACCAGCACCAGCAGTACGAGAAGCTGCAGCACCAGCAGTACGAGAAGCTGCAGCACCAGCGAGTGCAAGGTGTGTGTTGAAGAGATGAGGTGCTTGCCGATTCAACATAAAAATATTAGCACCGTCACCACCACTACCCACACCACTGCCACCATCACCAACATCAGCAACAGGTGCTGCAGCATCAGCAGCAGCAGAAGCAGCACCAGCAGCACCAACACCAGCAGAACCAGCACCAGCAGCAGCACCACCACCATCAGCAGCAGCAGCAGCAAAAGTACGAGCATATGGAGCAGCACCAGCAAGTGCAAGCTGTGCGTTGAAGCGATGAGATGCTAGGCGATTCGCCAAAACGGGACTGGCACCACTGCCACCACTGCCGTCAGCAACAGGGGCTGCAGCATCAGCAGCATCAGGAGAAGAAACAGCAGCAGTAGCAAATGCAAGTTGAGCATTTAATATATCAGGTGCTTGGCGATTCGCCAAAGTGGGACTACTAGCACCACCGCCACCACTGTCATCAGCAACAAGGGCCACAGCATCAGCAGCATCAAGAGAAGAAGCAGCAGCAAATGCAAGTTGTGTGCTGGAGACATTAGGTGCTCGACGAATTGCCAAAACAGGACTAGCACCACCACCACCACTGCCGTCAGCAATAGCAGCAGACGAAGCAGAAGCAGAATTACCAGCAGCAGCAGCAGCAGCAGCAGCAGCAGCAGCAGCAATAGTAGCAGCAGCAGGAGGAGGAGGAGCAGCCGCAGCAGCAGCAGGTTTGTATCCTGACCTGAAACGATGAGATCCTAGAGAGGAGATCTGCGATAAACAGCTGGTCAAGTGGGATGCTTGATGGGAGAGGAGCGCTGCAAGAAGGGGGCTAGCGGCAACTGCTGATGCCATGGCAGCACAGGCAGAGCAATCGGGAGAAGCGCCAAAGGCAGAGGAAGGAGCAGGAGGAGGAGGAAGAGTAACTGGATTGGTCGGAGCAGCAGCAGCAGCAGCAGTAGCAGGAGCAAAAGCGGTAGTGTCAGGAGCAGCAGAAGGAGTTGAAGCAGGAATGGCAGGATTAACAGTTGAAGCAAAATTGGCAGCAGTCGCAGGAGGAGCAGAAGCAGGAGCAGGAGCACCTGATGCAACGGCTGCCGGCATATGAGCATGAGAGAATGCAGGCATGAGGGAACGTGAGGGCACGGGAGCATGAAAATGCGTGGAAGCAGAAAGAGGGGTGACTGGTTGCGTGCGGAAATGGGCTGCCCCATTCCTGGATTCACTTCGGATTACCCTTGCTGCTGCCTCAACTGAACCACCATGTACTCCTCTTGATTCTCCTCCCCATCCTATTTCTCCTCCTCCTCCTCCTCCTCCTCCTCCTCCTCCTCCTCCTCCTCCTCCTCCTCCTGCTCCTCCTCCTCCTCCTCCTTTAACCCCTCCTCCAGACTTCACCCCTTCTCCTCGTCTTCCCCATCGCCCTGACTCCTCGATGGAGCCTCCCTCCCTCCTCACCTCATCAAACCGCACAAGGCCCACCTGCATCTCACGTGCCCCAAACTCAGCCGTGGTTACCTCCATCAGGGGAACCTCCACCGGCTCATCAGCCTCGGCATTGTTAGCCGCCTCAAAACTAACCGCCGCATTTTCTCTCATCATATGACTTTCCTCCTGTCTGTCAGCCATAGAAGTATAACGATCTGTTGGCGAGGCAGTAGAGACAGGAGAAGCAGCACCACGGCCAGAAGATTTGACAGTGGCAGCAATAGCAACAGAAGGAGCAGGAAATCCAGAATCAGTAGCAACAGCAGCAGCAGGTGTAGCAGCCGCAGCAGCAGGTGCAGGAGCGGGACGAGCAGCAGAAGGAGGAGACAGGGACAGGGACAAGGAGAGGTCCAGATCTCGCTGGTGAAAGGTCATGCTTTCATGCTTGAGGGTCCCAGGTTTCGCACCGCCACATGCATCTCTCATGCTTCCTTGTGCAGTTCCCACTGCTGCAAAAGGGCCACGTCCCACCCCGCCTGCTGCAGCAGTAGCTAAGCTTGTGCAAGAGAATTTGTTCTGAACTCTTGAAGTGCGGTAAGGACTTAAAGCTGGAGTGAAAGAGTACTGTGATTGGACGAGACCTGAGATGCTGCGACTATTGTTGCCACCTTCTGTTGCTCCTCTTGAAAAAATCGTGAATCCTGCCCCACCTTCCACTGGATCCGCGGAGGATTTAAATTCTCCTATTCCTTCTATTCCTCCTGTTCCTCCTCTTCCTCCCACCCTTCCTTTTCCTCCTCTCCCTCCTCCAGCATCCCTTTCGTGCACACTTCCATTTTCAGTGTTTCCCTCCACCATCCCCACCCATCTCAACAACCCACCAGAAGACTCCTCTCCGCCTCCTTCCCCTGCTTCACGTCCCACTATTCTTAACAAAGCAGCCAGATTCGGCAATGACGGAGTTTCTACCCTGTCCAAACCTGCCCCAGCCATCCCTTTGCTCATAAGTTGTGGTCCCGGAGCAGGCAGGGCAGCTGCTACTCCTGCACCAGAGCGTGTTCCTCTTTCTGCGCTTGCATGAGCTCCCTGATGCACATCTATATTTGGAAATCCATTGCTTCCTGAGGCTTCTGAGGCTGCTGCAGCTGTGATTATTATGATTGCAGCTATAATCATTTCCTGCTGATGTTGCTGCTGCAGGAATTGCTGTTGTTGCTGTTGTAGCTCCTGTTGTGGCACCTGTTTTTGCTTCTGCCGCCACTCCTGTTGATGCTTCTGTCCCTCCTCATGCACCTGATGCTGCTGCTCTTGCTGCTGCTGCTGCTGCTGCCGCAGTTGATGTCCTTGTTGTTGTTGCTCCTGCTGCTGCGTCTGGTGCTGCTGTTGCTGCTGATCCTGCTGCTGACTATGCTGTTGCTGCTGCTGCTGCTGTTGCTGCTCCTCCTCCTCCTCCTGCTGCTGCTGATTCTGCTTCTGCTGCTGCTGCTGCTGCTGCTGCTGCTGCTGCTGCTGCTGCTGCTGCTGCTGCTGCTGCTGCTGCTGCTGCTGCTGCTGCTGCTGCTGCTGCTGCTGCTGCTGCTGCTGCTGCTGCTGCTGCCGCCACTCCTGCTGCTGCTTCTGCTTCTGCTGCTGCTGCCGCCGCCGCCTTCGACGCTGCAGCTGCATGTGCCACGAAACCAAAGCCGAAAACTCCTCATCAAGTCCAGCACGTGCAGTGAAAAACTCACGAAACGCCGGCGTTAGCGATTGAGTGTGAGAGGACTGGGAAAGCAGCAGTGTTGAGTCAGACACTAGTGAAGAAGCAGCAGCAAGGGGCTCGCCAGGAACTTGCCGCGGGGATGCGAAAGGTAGGGGAAGAGAGGCTGGGATGGGTGCCAAAGATTGGTTGTGAGATGAGGTATCCAATGGGGATAAAACAGGCACTGGGCATGGGGCAGCAGGACCTAATGATCCGTGCAGTGTATTCCTCGGTGCCGAACGCCCCATGGAGAGCTGGGGTGAAGAAGCATGCAGAACTGGATTAGGCTGTGGGGATGAAACAGGGGGTGTAGCAGCAGGTGGGGGGGTAATTTCACGGTGCGGAAAGATTGTTGCTGACTGTTGTGCTGCTGGCCGTTCAGACCCATCTGCAGTTGTCCGCAGGCTGGTTCCACCTGGTTTCTTGGCTGATGGGAATGCTGCGGGAAGGGGTGGATCATCCCGTGATGCTTGCTGTTGTTGTTGAGTTTTCTGCTGCTGCCGCTGTAGAAATACCAAAAGCTGGATGATAGCCTCTTGGGTTATGCTCACACTCCCTCCTTGAGACCCGCCCTTCCTCTCACCATCAGATTCAACTCCTCCAGGCATGACCAACGGGGCTCTAGCGCCGCAGAATACGTGCCTTCGCAGTCTTGATTTCAGAAATCGTTCGACGATTAATAGACTCCGCGAAGAATCCGCGTGCGCCCAGTCTGCTGGAAGGCGCAAGAACTATCAGTAACAGCTAGTACTGTCAGTAATTTCAAGTTAAGAAAGCAGAAGCAGCAACAAACAACGACAGCGCAATCGTGTGCGTATGTCTGGTTCCTTATGATAGGCTGTGACGGTGCTTTACGTTCATCACGAAGCCACCCCGACTGTTGAATTTTCCGAATTGACTGTCAGTGACAGTCAACGCGGCTAAGTTCAAAACACGCTGCACAGTTACAGCGGTCGTACTTTTTTTGTGAAGGGTTCGTTTGACAAGGTTCTCTCTCACCGCTTCAGACCATTGCGCACCAGGATAAACCTTCGAAAACTACGAGATGAGTGGCAAAGTAGCTCACTCCAGCAGGTGCCAGTCGTCAACGTTGTTTAGTGTGCTTCAAGAGAAGGGCGGTCATTTTCGTTTGTAGGCATTGGTGCGCGCAAAGAGCCGGGTGAAGGCCGGGTAAATTGTGTGTGCTGTGCATCAGAGATTGGGCCGTGTAAATATTTGTCAACTCTTTCTTGCTATCAGGTGACTCAGTCAAAGGTGACGTGTCATGTCAAACCTTTGACTAACCAAAACAGCACTTCAGGACTTCCCGCCCAGCTTCTGGTCAGGGATCAACTGTGTGCTACAGTGCTGCACAATGCTATGCGATCACTCGCGAGAAACTGCGATCCCTGCGTCAATACCCTTCCAGCAGTCCAAGCATTTCGCCAAACATTCGTGATGCGCGGTGCGGATGTCTGCACGATGAGGACGAGGTCTTCTAGCTCTCGTCATTGGCTGCGAGAATTGCACAACAGCTGCACGAAACTCCAGGTTCGGTTTGGACGCATCATTGACCAAAAGCTTCAGGCTCAGGTTGACCAGAGCCCAGTAAAGTACAACTGATGTTCAATTGAGTCTCCCATAATTGCCTTAGATTTTGGGCTTTTAAGTGATTCTTGAATTTCGCATTGACAGTTTGACGTTTGACGTCGGTCCTGCATTGACAGTTTGACGTCGGTGTCTTCGTTACTACTGGTTCATTAGCACTGGAACTTGCTCGGGGGGCTTGTAAATTGGGTGCAACCTTCCGGCACCAATTGTTCGTGTGCAGGGAATCCGAAATGAGGCAGGAAAATTCGCGCGCAGCAGTTGAGCATCAACTGTAACCTCCCATCCCATCCCCGCTATCCAGTTGGGTTGACAGGGCACGAGAAACGACAGAACTGCTTGGCAGGGGCGTACGGTACGTTCATAGCTACAATGAACTGCGGCAATTGGCATGATGATCTTGTTTTATTCGAATTGGCTAATTAAACCATACCGAACCATAATATAACCACCCAAATCTGTGCTCTTCTACTCCAAATGTTATATAAATCTTATAAATAGGAAACTGTAAGATACTGAATTATTCTCTCAAAATACTGTATAAATATCAAATCATATATATCTTAATTATGTATTCTAGGCTCTACAGAATTTTTCAGTATAAGGTACATCAAGTCTCACGGCACTCCTACTTGTACCCTACCCCTTATTAGTCTCGCCACTTCCGCTACTTACTACTCTGAGATGGTATCATAGGTTCCTTCTGACACAATTTCCTCCTTAGGCTGCCATCCCTGCTATCCCTTAGCAGTCCTTTATCCCTCAGCCGTTAGCAGCGCCCGTCTTAGCATTCGCGCATAGCAGCACGCACTGCCGCAGTAGCACGCACGACACTACACATCTGCATCCAGCACGCGTTGCTCAAGACGCACAGCCGCGACAGCGCGCACCGCAGAGCACAACCGCAGCAGCGTTCAGATCGGCGTGCACAGTCGCCACCTGTACGCACCCGCACCTCTGCCCATCGCCACGCACGCATTACCGTGCACAACAGTGCTCGTGCACGGCCACTGCCGCACATCCGCGCGCGCACACCTACTCGCGCACAGCCGCACGCACAGTCCCTTCGACCGGCCTCCGAGCCCCTCCACACTCTCCAAAGACAGGTCGGGGACCTAGTCCAAAGACAGGTCGGGAAATCCTTCGGGCGAGAGACACACGGCCAGAGGTTCAGCTGGTGGGTGGCGTAGCGAACCGCGTAGGGCCACAGAAAATGAGGTGCACGGGCATGGACCATGGAGGTGCGGGCGATCTCCATTACCAAGCATATGCGGCCCAATCACGCTGTGGTGAGTCCGGAAGCGTCCAGAACTGGGTGACGCCGTGCTCGCGACAGAACCCGGCAAGCACGCCGGACCAAAACTCATCCCCACGGTCGGAGTGGAGACAAAGGACACGACTACCATGCTGGACACTAGTAGCCAGCAACCACAGGATCAAGGTAGAATTCACGTCGGACTTCTGCCGCAGGGGGAACACCGTGGTGTAGCGGGTGGAGTCGTCAACCACCACCATGAAGCAGCGCTCCCCCCCCCTCCCCCCAACCCAACGTCGGAGTTTTTTGTCTGGGGCTGCCGTTCGTTTGTCGGACAAGCTCTCGGCCCGTATCCTCCCCGATGCCTTCCTTGGTTTCCTGGTGGACAACCCAAACTTTGTCTTTTACCACCCGCCCCTCCACCGATTCTTTGACTCCCGTGACGCCACCTTTGACAAGTTCGTGTCGTACTACGCCCGCTACCCCCACCGAGGTCTCTCGGTTCCCCCCCTCCTTTGCTCCTCCCTCTCACTCCTCCTCCTTGTCCTACTCCTCCGGTAGGCTCACCCCACCCAGATTGTGCCCCGTCAGGTGTGTCTCACACTACCCCTCTCCAATCGGTAGCACGTCAGTTGTCGTCTCCTTCGCCACAGTCGCCCTCACGGTCACCGCAACAACCTTCAATACTACCATGGCCGGTCGTCGTGGACTCTAGGGGTGCGGGTGCTGGAGCTGGTGCTGGAGGTGCTGGCACTGGAGGTGCTGGTTCTGGAGGTGCTGGAGTTGGAGGTGCTGGAGCTGGAGGTACTGTCACTGGAGGTGCTGGTTCAGGGGGTGTTGAACCTGGAGGCAATAATTCTGCAGCGCCTGCTCAGCCTGCCATACGTTACCTAGCGCGTCGTCAGCGACATTGGCAGCTGGAGCGGGAGGGGTAGGAGCAGTTGGAGCAGGTTCGGCTGGAGCAGCAGCAACAGCAGCAGCATCAGCAGCCGCAGCAGCCACTGTTGCAGCAGTTGTCCCCACCTGTGAGTGGCCTACGGACCCTTGGTCTCCTTTCATCTCCTCGGGACCGTTCACCACCTCCTCCTGCTCACGGTCTTCCTCCTCCGGACTCGTCCCTGGCTGTTTTCTCTCCTCCTCGGCCACAGCCTCCTTCTACTATTGCCATGTACACCTGGACCATTCGTTGTCCCCCGGGTGCTCGGGCTTCGTCTCCTCTTAGGGATCTCCGTTCGGTCTTGTTTTGTGCTAGTCCTCCTCGTTCTCCGCCTCAGTCTGTTCTCCCTTCACCTCCTGCGTCGTCTCTCACAGTCTCCGCTCCTTTCTCCCCATCTCTGTGCCATGCTGCCAGCCCCTGAGGGAGACCCCGACGCCCTTAACATACCGACTCCTCGCACTCACACTGAGGCAGTGTCGGGGCCGTGGGCCTCTCGGTGAATAGCGGCCATGAACTCAGAAATGGCGTCTTGGAGATCCACGGGCATGTACGTCGACGCAGTTCCCCCTACCAGGTTGAACGTAGTCAATGGCATGTGGATCTTCAAGGTGAAGCGGCCACCTGGATCGGCGCCTGTATTCAAGGCGCACTACGTGGCTAGAGGCTTCAGACAGCGTGAGGAAGTATATTTCTTCCAGACCTTCTCACTCAACCCGAAGATGACTACTCTTCGGGTGTTACTTCAAGTCGCAGCACAGCGAGACTACGAGCTGCACTTCCTAGACTTGTCCACTGCCTTTCTCCAGGGCCGCCTGCACGAGAAAATCTGGCTACGCCGTCCTCCTAACTACACTGCCACTTTCGCTCCTCGGACCTAGTGGAGCCTGAGACGACCAGTCTACAGAATGCGCCAAGATTCTCGTAGGTGGCACTGCACATGCGCACCACTCTTGCTAACTTGGGGTTCAGTCCTTCATCCGTCGACCCTTCACTATTCGTGCGTTCTGGCCCCACTCCCTTCTTCGTCCTCGTCTAAGTCGACGACTTGGTCTTCGCCACAGCTTCAATGAAGTCCGAACTGCACAAGAGACGCACGTGCACTGACCTTGGCGAACTGCGCCACTACCTAGGCTTCCAGAACACCAGGGATAGAGCCGCTCGCTCCATCACACTGACTCGATCACACATGGTGCAGCAGGTCAATCAGCGGTTCGGGTTTCAGTTCTCTGCCGCACAGCCCACTCCTCTTGATGTTGGCCACAGGCTCAGCACTCCTGTTCCTGACAAGCCTTTTGAGTTTACTGGTCCTACGCAGAGCTTGTGGATTGCCTCATGTAACTGATGACCTGTTCTCTTCCGAACCTCTCTTATCCTCTAAGCGTACTGGCTCGCTTTGTTGCAACTGGGGCACACCGTCCTGTTATGAGGGTAACGAAGTACCTGGCGACTACATCAGGCATGAGGCTTGTGCTTGGAGGGAGGGAGCCAGTAGTACTGACCGGGCACTGCGACTCGTCCTACGCCGAGGCCTTGGAGCCCTGCAAGTCTATTCAGGGGTACTGTTTCAGCTTGGGCTCTGGAGCTATGTCTTGGAGGTCTACTCGCTCGTCGCCGCCTGTGGCTTTATCCAGTGTTGAGGCCGAGATTTACGTTGGTGCCATGGCTGCTCATAAGCTTTGCTGGTTGACCTACTTGCTCACTGATCTAGGTGAGCGGCCTAGCTCGGCAGCGACCTTGTTCGCTGTCAACAAGCCCATGATCCTCCTCGAGAGCCTCTACTAGAGGGCGGAGTGAAGCACATCGACTTGCGGTAGTTCCTGCTGCGAGAGCTGCAGCGATGCTGCCAGGCACGCTTGGCCTATGTGGCCTCAGTGGCCAACACTTCAGACATCTTCACAAAGGCCCTTCCGCCTGGTGACCACCAAAGGTTATGTTCATTGCTTGGCCTTGTTCGGACAGGCTCGCAGCAAGTAGGTCAGCCAGCGAAGCTCCTGAGCCCGTTAGCGCCCGCAGCCATACACGCGCGCCCTGCCAGCAAAGCAGCGCGCGCATTCGCCGCAGCGCACACCAGCAAAGCGCGTGCTCCCCGCCAGCGCGCGACAGCAAAGCGTGCATGCCTCACCAGCGCGCGTCTAGCTAGCGCACACGGCAGCATCAGCGCGCATACCCTGCCTGCAAAGCGCACGCGCTGTCCACGCGCGCCTCGCCAGCCAGCCACTTGCCAGCAAGCCAGCCATGCGGACACGCCAGCCCGAAGTGCCCGCTCCTTGCCCGCCGCCCTGCCACGCCCCACCCGCGGCATTAGCAATGGGGGGGGAGGCAGGGGGAGTGGCGGCAGGGACTTGCGCTCACAGTTGTGGGGATGCTGAAGCCCCCTTGAACCCCCTGCCCCTCCCTTTTCCTCTTCCTCGTTGCTGCATCTGCATCTGATGTGCGTGCCGCGTTGGGGGGGGGGAGAGGAGAGGGTGTGGGGGTGGCGGGTATGACAAGGCAGCCGCCGCTCCACCTCTCACCTTCCAGCCGCCTTCCTCCTCCTCACTCCTTTCATCCTTCAAGCTTCCTCCTTTCCTCATCCTTTCCTCCCCCTTTCGTATCCGCCTCTCTCCTCTTCTTCAGCCGCCTCTCCTCCGCGCTCCCTCTGTGCACCACCCGCTAGGCTATTCTAACACTCTCTTGCTTGTTCTGATGCCCCTCACTTAGCCTATGGGTGTGTGTCAGTTTATATATATCCTAGTTAGGTATTTTAGGCTATAGTGAGGTTCTCACTATAGGGTACAACAATTCTCTCGACACTCCCACTTCTACCTTACCCCTTACTAGTCTCGCCACTTCCGCTACTTACTAATCTGAGAATAAACTCTCATGAAACAGCTGTCCACACAGCAACCAGCGTTTCGGACAACTCAAATCTTGTTAGACACACTGCGACATGAGGAAAGTCTTGCTTACGCAGCATAGGACTCAGATATACAAATAACCGAGTCATCGCGCGCGTAAATTCCTGCGCGCACATGCGAAAACAAACGAGGGTATGTGTGAATTGATAACTGTGCCATGAGATTTCAGGATAGTGTTGATTTTCACCCTTTATCTTCAGGATGATTGTACATGACGTGCCCTGAAAATCCAGGATGCGCGTAATTGTTTGGCCTGATAGTCAGGATGAATGTTGAGGAGTGCCCCGCCGAGAATATTGTACTTGCCTGAGTTTTCCCTGCCTCTCCCAAGTAAACGCATCCCCAACTGCCATGCCTCCTACTCTGCCCCCTCCTACTTTGTTCTCCCCTGGTCTGTTCCCCGTTGCTCTCCCCTCCCCTCCCCCCCTTGCTCTGACCCTCCCTGACCTCCCGTGTCCTGACCCCTCCGCTCTGCCCTCCTCTACCCTGCCCTCTCCTGCTGCTCTGCCCTGATGTGGGCCGAAAGTATCAGGATTCTTGATTTATTGTACCATGAAAATCAGGGTTTGAAAGTTTTAAAAAAATGTTGCCTTGAGAGCTCAGGATGGCTAAAATCCTAGCAAAGGCCCTGGCGGGTGCTTCGTCAGCCTTCGGTAACTTCACCCGACGCTTTGTCGGCCCTTGATTAAGTTACCTTGAAATCCCCGTCGACCGTGAAACCCTGCCGGCAACTCGTATCGTACACCAGACAGCGAGGCCGGCTTCGCCCAAGTGAGGGCGGGGCTTTTCTCATCAACATGTATTCCACTCCTCTCCATTCCACCGTCCTAATGTATATATCCGATCTTACATAAGCAATGCCAATGATTGGATCTTCGGTCTTACTACTACCTTGCAGTCCCACCAAAATCCTCTCCACTTTGCTGCTAACCTTTCATTGCCCTCTCCCCTCAATCACCCTTCCATTGCCCCCTCCTCTCTGCTACCTTCCCTTCGGCCACTTCCATTCCCTTGCCCTTCAATTTCTGACCCTCCACTACCTTTCAATTGCCCTCTCCCATCCATTGACCATGCTTTTTCCTTCCCCCTTGCCCTTGCCCTCTCCCCTCCATTACCCGTCCATCCTCCTCCCCCCTTCCCCTTGCCCTCTCCCTCCATTAACTTTAATTTCATCCCCTTTCCCCTTGCCCTCTCCCCTCCATTACCCTTCCATTACCCTTCCATTACCCTTCCAATTTCCTTCCCTCTTCACCTTGCCCTCTCCCCTCCACTACCCTTCAATTTTCCTTTCCCCTTCCCCTTGCCTCTCCCCTCCACTACCTTTCCACTTTCCTTCCCCATTTTCCTTGCCCTCTCCCCTCCACTACCCTTCTATTATCCTTCCCCCTTCCTCTTGCCCTCTCCCCTCCATTACTCTTCCATTCTCCTTCCCCCTCCCCCTTGCCCTCTCCCCTCCATTACTCTTCTATTCTCCTTCCCCCGCTCCCTTGCCCTCTCCCCTCCATTACCCTTCCATTTTCCTTCCCCCTTCCCCTTGTCATCTCCCCTCCACCTCCCTTCTATTTCCTCTTTCCGCCAACTCCCAGTACCCTCCCCTTCTACCAGTCAACCACCCTTCCCAGCCACACCCAGTTCGGAGACGCCTGGAACTATCTTGGTTAAGTCAGCAAAGCCAGCCACACCCCCTCATCCTTCCACTAAATACCAAAACACCCACTCTTCACCCCTGCTCCTCGCCCAATCGCTCATTACATATGAGTGATTTGATCCTTTCCCATCAGCCCTACTCCCCACTGTTCCTGGGCCCATCCAATTGGTTAGGATTATGTCCCTTCAGTCCTGCTTTTGAGACGTCTCAAAAGCCGTTCCTGATCCCATCCAAATGGTTAGGATTATTTCCCTTCCGTCCTGCTCCTCGCCCTTTCGACTCATCCGTCCCCCTGTGCCTTCCACCCATATCCGCACCGCCCTTTCAACTCACATCCATCTCCCTTCCCCTTCCCCTCTGTTTTTTTCCTTCTCCTCTGCTCCTCGTCCCTCCTCTCTGCTGCCTTTTCCCTTCCACTCCCCTCCTTTCGACCTCACCCTCTGCAGTCTCCATCCCACCGTTCCTCCCTCCCTTCCTCAAACGGTCCATGTATTGAAATATGCCTATAGGTACAAGCATGCATTGGTGATCCACATATCACCTTCCTTCTCTCTACTGCACTTTCCCCCTCCCTACCTCATCCTCCTCCCCCGTCTCCCGCTTCTCCACTCCCTCCTCCCCCGACAAGTCATTGCCTGCCCCGTTCCGCCAATTCTCATACTCATCCAGAAATTTCGTCAACGCTCGAGGCCCACGAAGTTGCACAGCTGCCCGATCGTACGCTCGGGCAGCCTCTTCCGGGCAGGTGAAAGTTCCGAGCCACAGGCGGGATTTTTTTCTTGGGGAATCGAATCTCAGCCACCCACTTCCCGCAGTGCAGCTGCCGCAAGCACCCGGTACCTGTTTATTGTCCTTTCTTGCTTGCTTGCCGGCCGGCATAGTGGATAGAAAAGGTGGGACTGTGTTGCCACTTGTGGGTTGTATTAAAGGAAGCATAAACAGCTGTACCTTCGCTACTCAATTCACCACCATCATACAGGATCGGTATAGTTGCAGCAGCGTCTCTTGCGGTGGTTGTAGGTGCTACCAATTCTGCCTTGCAGCAGTGTCTCTTGCTGTGGTTTTCTGCCTTGCTCTGCCACCTGTGCCTGATCTGCTGCACCCGCTACTGTCCCCACTCCCACTGCTGCCAACCATACCACCTCCTTCCCCTCCACCATTCTCCCCGCCATTCCCACTCACATTCATCTCCCCTCCCTCCCCTCTCCCCCTTTTCCTTCAGCCATTCTCCTCTCCTTTTCCACTCACATCCATCTCTCTTCCCTCCCCTCTCCCCCTTTTCCTTCAGCCCTTCTCCTCTCCTTTTCCACTCACATCCATCTCCCCTCCCTCCCCTCTCCCCTTTTTTCCTTCAGCCCTTCCCCTCTCCTTTTCAACTTACATCCATCTCCCCTCCCTCCCCTCTCCCCTTCCTTCAGCCATTCTCCTCTCCTTTCCCACTCACATCCATCTCCCCTCCCTCACCTCTCACCCATTTCCTTCAGCCATTCTCCATTTCTTTCCCATTCACATCCATCTCCCCTCTCTCCCCTTTTCCTTGTGCTGTGCTCCTCTCCCTTTTCTCTCTTCCGTTTCCTTCTGCCTTTCACTCATCTCCCCATCACCCTTTCCACCCACATCCATCTCGCCTCCCTCCACTCTCTCCTTTTTACTTTCAGCCTTTCTCCTTGCCCCTTTCCCCATCTGCTGCCTTCTGCCTTTTTCTCTCCCCCCCCTCAACCCCACCCTCTCCAATCATAACCATCCCCACTTCCCTCCCTCTTTCCCCTCCCTCTGCCTCACTCCCCCCCTTTAACTCCACCTCATCCTCTTCCCCCGTCTCCCCCTTCTCCACTCTTTCCTCCCCCTTAAACCCCAACAAGTCATCTTCTGCCCCATTCCGCCAATTCTCATACTCATCCGGAAAATTCGTCAACGCTCGGGGCCCACGAAGTTTCACAGCTGCCCGATCGTACGCTCGGGCAGCCTCTTCCGGGCAGGTGAACGTTCCGAGCCACACGCGGGATTTCTTCTTGGGGAATCGGATCTCCGCCACCCACTTCCCGCAGTGCCGCTGCCGCACGCCACGGTACCTGTTTTTGTCCTTTTTTGCTCGCTTCCCGGCCGGCAGAAAAGACGGGGCAGTGTTGGCACTTGTGGGTTGATTGGACGAAGCATCAACGGGTGCACCTCTGCTGCTCAATTCACCACGATCAGAGGCGATCCGCATGCTTGCAGCAGCGCCTGTTGCAGTGGTTGTAGGTGCGGCCAAATCTGCCTTACTTGTCTTTGCGGTTTTCCGCCTTGCTCTGCCTCCTGAGCCTGCTCTGCTGTACCCGCTACTATGCCCACTCCCACTACTAACAACCCTACCACCGCCTACCCCTCCACCATTACCCCCACCATTCGCACCACCATTCCCACCACCACTCCTACCATCATCCCCTCCCCCACCATGCCCCCCACCACCACTCCCACTGCCACCGTCCCTCCTCATACCACCGTCTCTAGCTGCCATTCCTCCTCCAAATGCCTCCCTTGCACCTGCTGCTCCCAGGACTACTCGCATAGGCAGGAATTTTCCTTTTCGCTCAAAATCCTCCTCGTCTTCCTCCTCGTCCTTGTTGTCCTCCTCCTTCTCCTCTTCCTTTCTCCCCCTCTTCTTACCTCTCTCTTCCTTGCTTTTCCCCCAAACCCCTCCCACTTGGCCATCCTGCCTGAAACGCTCAGACTTCCCCTCTCCCCTGCTTACTGCGTCACCCATCTCCTCCAATTTGACCTGCCTTCCCTCCTTGCTTCCCCAAACTTCTTCTGTAGAACAAGCAGCAGCAGCAGCAGCAGCAGTACCACCACCAGCAGCAGCACCGGCACCACCACCACCGTCGCCAGCAGTACGATTAGCAGCAGCAGCAGCAGCAGCAGCAGCAGCAGCAGCAGCGAGTGCATGTTGTGTGTTGAGCCGATGAGGTGCTTGGTGATTCGTCAGAAAAGACATAGCACCGCCGCCGCCGCCACTACCAACAACATCAGCAAAAGGGGCTGCAGCACCAACAGCAGAAGCACCACCGGTGGTAGGAGCAGCAGCAGCACCACCACCAGCAGCAGAAGAAAATGCAAGCTGTGCGTTGATAAGGTGAGGTGCAAGTTGGTGATTCGCCAGAAAGAGACCAACACCGCCACCATCACCACCGGCAGCAGGAGCCCCAGCAGAAGCACCACCAGAAGCAGGAGCAGCAGCAGGAGCAGCAGCAGCAGCAGCAGCAGCAGCAAAAGCACCACCACTAGCACCACCACCACCAGCAGGTGCAGTCTTGCACTCTGAGTTGAAACGATGCGAAGCTTGAGAGGAAATTTGTGGTGAGCTGATGCTGTTCAGGCGGGATGCTTGATAGGAGAGGAGCGCTGCAAGGAAGGGGCCAGCAGCAACTGCTGATGCCATGGTAGCAGCAGCAGAGGCAGAACGATTAGGAGGAGGACCAACGGCAGGGGAAGGAGGAGGAGAAGGAGCAGGAAAAGGAACAGGAGAAGGAGGAGCAACCGTAGTGGTTGCAGCAGCAGCTGCTGCAAGAAGGGGGCTAGCAGCAGCTGCTGATGCCATTGCAGCAGCAGCAGCGGAGCGACCAGGAGGAGGGCCAATGGCAGGGGAAGGAGGAGGATAAGGAGGAGAGGAGCGCTGCGAGAAGGAGCTGTTCAGGTGGGATGCTTGATGGGAGAGGAGTGCTGCAAGAAGAGGGCTAGCAGCAACTGCTGATGCCATTGCAGCAGCAGAGGCAGAGCCATCCGGAGGAGGGCCGAAGGCAGGGGAAGGAGCAGGATAAGGAAGCAGCGGAGGAGCAACCGGAGTGGTTGCTACAGCAGCAGCTGCTACAGTTGCATTAGCGGGAGAAAGGGCCCCAGCAATAAGAGCAGCAGCAAGAGAGGAAGCGGCAGAGGCAGGACCACCAAAAGCAGAAAAAGCAGCCGTGGGAACAGCAGAAGGAGCGAAAGCGGCAGCAGAGGGAGCAGCAACAGGAATAGGTGCCTCTGAAGCCACTACTGAGGGCAGGTGAGCATGGGAGCACGAAGATGAAAAGGAAGGTGAGGTCATGAGCGCATGAGCATGCATGGAAGTAGCAGGAGGGCCGCCAGATTGCATGCGGAAATGGGCTGCACCAGTCCTGGTTTCACTTCTCACTACCCTTG